ACAGTGGTGAAGAAGTAGTGCAAAACGACATACCAGAAAAAAAGAGGTCAAAAATAACTATTGTCTCAGACATTAGAATACCGCCAAAAACAGACAAGAATAAAAAAACACCAACGAAAAAAATAAAAGAAGCTAAAGCTGGACCATCTGGTATTACGATAAAAAGAAATTTACAAAACGCTTGGCCATCTGTTCTAAAGACAATTTTGAAAAAAGATGTAAAAAGGAAGGGTATAAGAACCAAAAAACTCCACGATAATTCTTCGGATTCAGACTCTGACTGCTCTGTGCAGTATGCAGATTCTTCGGACTACGATTCAATTGAAGACATGCAGGACTACTTATTGAGACAACTGACAGAAGATCAGAAAATGGAGGAAAAGGAAAAAGATGAACAAATGACCGAATTGGAAACGAAAGGGCATGAAACAGAAAGCTTGAGAACAGAATATGACAAGGGGAAAGAAGGATGGTTAAAAACAGGAAATAGAGGATCAAATTAAGGAATTGGAAAAAAAAGGATATGAGATAAAAAACTTGAGAATAGAAAGTGATAAAAGGCAAGTAAAAGAGATGGTAAATTTATATGACATGGATAAAGTCGAATGGGAAGTACGGAACATAGAGGAACAAACGAAGGAATTGGAAACAAATGGACATGAGAAAGAAAGCTTAAGAATAGAAAGCGATGAAAGGAAAGGACAGGAGATGGAAAAACAGATGGTACATGAATATGAAATGGAGAGAGACGCATGTAAAGAACAGGGAAAAGAGGAACACATGAATGAATTGGAAACAAAAGGACATGAGACGGAAAGTTTGAGATCAGAAAGCTATGAAAGGAAGGGACAGGAGATAAAACAAAAGATGGTAAATGTATATAAAATGGAGAGAGACTTATGGGAAGACCAGGAAACAGTGGAACAAATAAAAGATTTAGGAACAAAAGAGCATGAAAGAAAACAACAGATAAAGAGCCTGATAATAGAAAACGATGATAAAAAAGGACTGAAGATAAAACGACGAAGACTAGAAGAGACTATGTCAGAAAAAGATACAATTAATGAACAAAATGAGAAGGCATTTATAGCCAAAAGTTTATATATTGGACAATACATCTTAGTAAAGTTTGAAAGTACCAAAAATACAAATAAGTATTACTGTGGCCTGATTACGAAAATATCCGAGCGTGAAGGTGTTTTCGCGAAATTCACGAGATATAAAAATGGCGGGTTTTACTGGCCCACAGTACCCGATACAAGTATTGTATTTGAAAATGATATAGTACAAATTTTACCAAATCCCTATAAAAACCGGCGTGGAATTTTATATTTTGATGTCAAATTTAAATATAAATTGGAATAATAAGTTTCATTAAGTATAATTATCAATACAATTTAGTTGAAACTATGGTAGTATAAGTATGATAAATGTGAAACAACTAGTGCCTGATATACATTATATAACTCTTCATGCGAGTGTCTGACTTGCATTTAATCAATGTTTTATAGCGTACATTTTAACATCATTTTTAAACTGGTGGCAGCCCTGATAATTAATTACATTTGTATGAGAATTTCAATGGAGTCCATGCCATCTTTACCTACCAGCATTTATTGCCCGTATATAGCTTTTTTAATTAAAATACCCATATGTCTAAACAGAGAAAGTAAAGCGAAAGGGTATCTTTACCAATTTCAGTTATAAAGGCTTCATTTTATCGAGAAATACTGTATAGGTAAAGTAGCCATTTTGTGGCTTCTTTACCTGTGTCATGTTTTTGGTGCTACTTTAGTGGTTTTGCAGCCATGGGAAACAGTGCATTTATAAAGCAACGGAGAAGTACTATATTCATCGATTAAAAATAATAGCTTAATCATAAGTGTTTTATTTTTCCATTTATTAACTTTTTCCTTCAAAATTATGGTAAAGATGCCTTAGTTGACGGTACTAGAGAAGCCATTCCGAACATTGACTATGTTCAACTGAACTGTAGTGCAATCCATACAAACTAAATAAGATTTGTGAATTCCATAAAATAGTTATTATTACATTTTATTTAGAAATATGTTTGTTTAGATTAAATTAAGATATTTCATATTAGATTCTTATATTTATTTTATATTAATATCTTATTATATCAAATTAAAGCCTTCGCGCATGCTCGACTACTACACCCGCGCATGCGCGAAGACAGAGTAGCGCACAATTTTTATTTGGAATGGCTTCTCTAGTACGTAGTACATATAACTCAATGCAGTGAATGAAGCAAGTTGTTGGCTCCTTAACATTTAATTACAATAAATTCTAATACAATCATGACTTCGAAAAACCTAATTCTCATTATCGTACTCAATGAAGGGAACATTTATTAGTTGCTGCTAAGGTCAAACTAAGCCTCGCCAGCGGTCACTCTTCGAAACCTTCCGAAACCTTGATTCTGCGGTCTCAAGCTCATACTGTATAAAAATTTGTTTTTGCTTCATTGGGTGTATAACGTGTAATTTTTATTTATTTGGATCAAATAATAATATATAATGAATTATGTAAATTATGGATGTGTCAGGTAATTTTCAAATTCACTGTATACTTGAAAAAATAATTTCCTTTAAATAAAGGGTTTATCAATTGGCGCGGGTAGATTTTGGCGGCGCGTGGCGGCAATTTTGTTTTGGTGACATCAAATCAGACTATCAAATCTTTTGTTTATTATTCAGTTACTTTTACCAAAACTTTATTATCAAAATGAGTGTTCGTTAGTGCAAACATTGCGCGCATTGCGCCCATTTTACGGTAGACGTGGTAGCCCTTCAGTCGACTTGGTGGCAAAATATAAAACGACCAGTTCGGTAAACAGTCAGCCAACACCTGTACGTTCAAGGAATGCAAGATCGGCCGAGAATATCGTCGCGGTTCGTGAAAGTGTACAACAGAACCCAAGGCAGTTGATTCCTCGCCGTACACAAGAACTCGGTCTTTCGCAGACTTCAATTTGGCGAATATTGCGTCGGGACTTAGGCCTATGACCGTACAAAATCCAACTGACCCAGGAGCTCAAAGTTCATGACCATAGACAACGCCTTTTGTTCGCTGACTGGGCTTCGAATCGTTTGGAAGAGGACCGCAATTTAGGCAGAAAAATCATCTTTAGCGACGAGGCGCATTTTTGGATGAATGGCTGTGTTAACAAGCAGAATTGCCGTATATGGGACGACACCAACCCACGCGAGGTTCACCAGATAATGCACCCTCAAAAAGTTACCGTTTGGAGTGGATTTTGGGCCGGCGGCATCCTTGGTCCGTACTTTTCGAAAACGACGCTGGTGTGGCGGTCAGCGTCAACGGCGAGCGCTAAAGAACGATGATAACCAATTTCTTGTGGCCCAAATGGACCATACGCACCGATAGACATTCTCCATGAGCGATTTGAGGGTAAGCTTAGCAGGGGTAACGCGAATTGGCCACCAAAGTCATGGGATTTAACCTCGCTAGACATTTTCTTGTCGGTTTTCTTGAAGTCGCAGGTCTATGCAAAAAAATCACAATCGACCGATGACCTAAAGGTGAACATAACATAGGCCATAGCTCAAAGGAGAAGGAGACGTTAACAAGATGAAAGCTGGACCATTTGAAAGCTTATATATCAACAATTCATATCTGACAATCTGGCAACATTTGTCAATCTAGGAGCTGAGTTATTGTAGAATAAGTAAAAGTGATTTTATGTATTACCTACACTGTAAAAGGCGATTTTTCTCTGTAATAGGTTATTTTTCACTATTATCACCTAAAGATGTAAAAGCAGGATCATTAAATCACCAAAAAAAAGTATTAAAGTAAAGACTTACGAAAGTATGTTTAATAATTTGATTTTTTTTCAATATTTTTTTATCTCCCTAGTTAACACAGAAAAATAATTTTTAGGTATATATTGTTAGGTAGCACAAAGTAATAAAAAGTAATAGTGGTAGGTAGCGTTCAGAAACTAGAATTTCACTAGTGTATTCTTTATGGTAATCAATTTGTTACCATAAAATGTTTATTTCTTTTTTCTTTATTGAGTTTAATATATTTTATTTCCATATGAATATATCATTCAAAGTAAATAATAGAATTTTAATGAAACATTGGAAGCTTTTAAATTTAATTTTTTTGGTTCTGAATAAATATAAAATCGATACAATCGATTTTCCAACTTATTTCTTATTTTATTGTTTTTTCGAAATGTAGATCGTGAAAATAGCTAATTTTTTGCATTTAAGTTTAGAAAAATATTGTCAATTTTTTAAAGTATAAACCATTAGTTAACTTCAGGCCCAAAAATTCCATTCTCCTTTAGCCAGATCTATGCAGAAGAGTCATTGAAAATTGGATCACTTGAATCCGTGCCACTGTAAGAATCCGAGGCAGGCATTTGAAACACGTTTGATGAAATGGTACATGTGGGCCTTTCAAATAAAAAAAGAATTTTATTAATACCTCACACACAGCTTGTTTTATTTCATTTCAGCATCTACCCGCCCTTATTGAAAAACCATTTATGCAGTTTTACAAAGTCAACACTTGTTTCAACTTAAGTAATCATTAACTATAAAGAAATTTTACAGATTTAAAATAGTTGAGATTAGCTCGGATGTGAAGAATAAACATAGAAAACAAAACAACAAATCCTTCTGTATGGTTACAACATAGGTTGTAAAATGACTTTACTGCATATTACACAATGATTATTTAAACCTAAGACACTACAACCTAATAAGTATCAGAAATATCTCCAACCATCCATGGACATCAAATTGTCATTATTAGACAAAAAAGTATCAAAAAAAATTATAATACAATGGAAACAATGTTTTGTTTGTTACCTTTAGCATGGGTTTTAGGTATATTAGACACAATATGTCACATTATTTGTGTTCTGTAACAATACATAATATCTTTAAAGGCTATATAAAAAGTTTATATTGCCCTATTATTTATATACACATTTAAGGTTAATTTTAACTAGCATTGGATTCCTCATCAGATTCTGGTTCATCTTTGCAGTTAACATTTGCATTAGGATCATATTGGTGCAACTTGATTCTCCATATTTTGATTAATGCATCCCATGACCTACGGCTGTATTTGGTATATTTATCTGGAGTTTTAGGATCCTCTTTAGTGCGCTTGTCACTGAAATATAAAGGTTATTAGAATAGATACAAAAAGTAGCTTAAGTTTACTAATATATAGGTACAAATGACACTTACATAGGTACATCTTTAATATAATTATGATATCCTACAGTATTTTTTCCATAGTCAATCTGTTTCTGGCGTCTTTGCAATACTGTCGGATCTATTTCAACTTCGGCTATTTTGCTAGGTTTGCTGTAATAAAATTTGTAAATATGTAAATAGGTAACAAAGGTAAAATATACATAGTTTATATTTTATTGATAATAATATATTTATTATATAAGTTTATGATTTTTATCATTTTATTGGTCAAATTTATTATTGTCAATATTATTACCAATAAGAGTAGCTTAATAAAAAGCTGTTAATTTATTTAATTGATGGAGGTTACATATAAACTATTTAAATTTTTTAGAATGGAGGCAGCATTATCCATCCAAAGTATTTTTGACATACTAATTGAGCTAGCTTATTAAGAAGTAAATCATATGTATCACAATTTCTATAAACACATATTATCTCAGAAATATTCTTATTAATGTTCATAATGAAAAAGTACCAGTTATAATAACACTTAGATATATTACAGCACAAAAAAACATTATAAAAACACTATAGAACATTATAATATTAAGACTTAATAGGACCCATTTTTGTTTGGAACTTATAACAAAAAAATAATGTTGTACATATTAGTTGCTTAGAATATCGTAAAATGTGAGTAATAGCCAGGTTAATAAATAGGTTTGTGATTATGGATGCCATGGAATAGTGATCTATCAATTCTTTACAATTTTCCATCCAAACCTATATTTTTTGGCTAAACATGGTCCAAGTAGCCGGCTGCTATTTGGACACTGCCTACCCTCACAAGAGTGACACTGTATGTTACATAAACTCTTTAAAAAATCCTAAGTTACTCCTTATAACATCAGCTATCTGCCAGTGAATGTCCCGTCAAAATCAGTCCAGTCATATCAGAGATTAGCCGGAACAAACAGACAGCCAGACAGGCAGACAAAAATGTTAAAAATTGTTTTTTTGTTATTAGTACTGTATATACTTTCATATGCATTTAGTAAAAAGCTGTTATTTTAAGATTACAAACACAGACACTTCGATTTTATTTATTTGTATAGATTTCCTGTTTTGTTGTGATAATAACACAACAGTGTGGCATATTTATCTTAACGCAGCCCACAGTTGTGACACTTTTGGGATCCGCAATAATTAAAAAAGTATCGTAAAGATTTTTGGTAAGATTTTTGACATTGGGCAAGAAAATATTGTAATTTGTCAATATTTTCTTGCCCAAACGTCACATGGGGTTAAAGCTGCAACCCAATAGACAGTCACTCACTAAACTTAGCCCCAGAATTGTTCCTCAGATATTGAAAATTTTATTTACATTAACAAAGTTAAATGTATGTAAATAATAAACCAAAAAAATAACCAGTAAATGTAGGGTGTGGGAAGGCCCCACTAGATGGTGACAACATGGTAAAAAATTTCGATGGCTGCAGATGGCTCTGGACCATGCTTTGTGGCATTCCTTAGGGGAGGCCTATATTGAGCAGTGGCATTGTGAGAGGTTGTGATGATAATGATGGTGATGGTGCTGGTGGTGCTACTACTGTTGATGATGATGAAATGTATTTAAGGTCACCATTTTCCAAATGCCTGTTTGCTTCCTCTTCTATATAAAAATACAGTGTAAAAGAACTAACCTTGGTATGCTGTCTTCATTTTTACTATTAAGTTTGAATTTTTTTCTGCTACTGGAATTTTCTCTGCTATCTGATTTTATTTTTCCTTTTGTTGCTTTTCGTACTGTAAAAATATCATAAATAAAATTAATGCTCACTCCATAATAGAAAGTTATAAGTAGATTCTGTGTATCCAATGGATTATCTGTGTTGGTTGAATAGCTATAAAAACAATTAATATCATAAAATTGTAAGTATAGACTATAAGATTATTTATTAACACCTAAATTTCAATATTTTATGACTATATATAATTATATAGTCATAAAATATGATGATATATTGAAAGTTCAATTGTGTATTATGGCTAATACTAATGAACTAATCATCATCATTATACATTAAAAATTAATAGATTTTTTTTATTGTGCAAGTAGCTAAGCAGATCCAATAAGACCAGTAAGTTTTTTGTAATTGTTGCTATAGTTATAGTTCACAGCTAAGCCATATATTTTTTGTGAATTATGAAGTTATAACCTGTCGGAAATATCTGCGAACCTCGCTGGAATGCGCTTCCCCTCGCGCTTCCCCGCACCTCCGCCCGTTATCGTCTATCCAGTACCATTGCCATCTCTCCATATTGCATGACGTCATCAAGCCAGGTTCGCAGATATTTCCGCCCGTTATCGTCTATCCAGTACCGTTGCCATCTCTCCATATTGCATGACGTCATCAAGCCAGGTTCGCAGATATTTCCGACAGGTTATACTTAGCTGTGAGGAATTTCACTTAAGTACATAGTTTCCCAAATGAGTGTTACGTTTGCACATTAAGAGCTCACAATCAGTTAAAATTTACAGAGGTGTTTCTTCCGTTGAGTAACAGAATTGGGACATCCTCAAGTTTCTTAGTCCCAAGATGGATATGTGCTTTTTTAAACAACAATGTCCAGTCAGGACTCTTGCCAAAATACGCAGTTTATTCTTACTTAATCCCAGGGTTCTAAAGCCAACTTACGATCAATTAGCCTGGATTAAGGTTTTAGATTGTTTTAAGCCTGGTATATCAAACCAGATCTTAAGTATGTCGTAAACAACTGATTAACGTGTTTACTTGGTTGGTTACAACATAGCATGCTACTGAAAAGATATTAGCATGTTTAATCCTAATCAGCTAAAGGTTGGTTATGACGATAAACCAGTGAAGGCCTACTTTTAAATGTACTTAAATATCACTGAAATTGTTGTGCTTTGCATCTGTGTCTTATCATATGGGCATAGCTATGACCATGCCTACAAAGGGTACTGCTATCATGTGAATGGTACTCCTGCATTATGTGTCCCAAGGCCATCTGAGTTCCTATGATGACAAAACATCCACTTTTTGATTTTACATTAAGGATAGATGTCAGGGTCTGAAAACTACAGTATGGCTTATTAGAGAGCTCTTTTATCAAACCGAGATCTTTAAAAACTAATACAGCCGGCCCTCAAACTAAATAGGCAATATGGCAGATGATTTAACATAGCCCAGCCCTAGTCGGCCTTTTATCAAAATTACGTCAAGACTTACCATATGAATTAGCTTCAGAGTTGTGCTTTCTGTTATCAGAATCCATTTTAGAAAAAACAACATACGCCGGTAAATTATTTAGTACATTTTGAAGCACAAAATATTTTACTAACTTTGTAACTGTTAAACAAAAAATGGGATATAAGTAAGTGAAAAGACGTAATGTGCATCAATTTAATCGTATTGATTAGATTGATTGACTAAAGATCCCAAATCAAAAACAAATTAACAAACAAAGAAAATGTTTCTTCTATTAAAAATATTTATGCAATAATCACAATAGTAATTTATGGGAATATCAGCAACACAGAAATTACAGAACTAACGGCTCTCAGCAATGTATATTTTATTATATTATTATTTTACTAATAATAACAATAAATGTGCTAGGCTACGCTAGCCTGATTCCACAAACTATATAAAAACACTATGACTATGATTCTTTCGAGCAACGCGCGAAATTCAGTGATTTCAGTGACTGATTGTTGTTGTTTTTATTATTCGCTCGCGAGAGCAGGCAAAGGAACTAAGCCATACAGCCTTGTCTTTTTTATATTATCCTTCATAGTTCACTACTTCACAATATGTTGATGCGTCACATTGGGAGATTTTGACGGCAACTTGAGCCAGCAGACAGCTGTCAGTTGACGATGGTATCTAAAGGCGCCTATGCACACAAACAGCTTATATTAAGAATCCATCACCATCAGAGCACTTGTTTCACCGTTTCCACTAATAGTTCACATGCGTAGACAGTTAATACATAAAATTACATCACTTTTACAAAACAAAATCCACTTCAAACTATTATTTAAACTATAATACTGGAGCAGCAAACCGCTGCCGGTCAAGTTCCCGCCAAAACTCCCTACAGTGACTGACATCTGACGGGTCGGACGGGTCCCGTCAATTCCTTTTTTTTTATAAAGACCAATAAAGACCATGAAGTTATAGATAAAGATGGAGGCCACACTTGGAACAACAACTTGAGTCAAATACCTACGTATCTTTATCTCACTCTCTGTGGTCTGACTTCTCTTTTTAGTGTGGAACACAATATTGCTATGTTTTTATTTGAATCTCCCGGTAAATTCTTAGAAATAATTTCCACACTAACTAAATCAGAAGTTAAGCTTTGTAAAATAATGTACCAACAAATAAATAGTTGATCTACGATTAGTTACATTAAAATTTCCAAAATTGAAGGTTTCGTATGCATTATTGGGTTCACGAATCAGTGAATTACAATCCCATTTCCTAAGGATTCGGTAATATGGCAACATTAGCCCTATATGTCAACATAAATTAGACAAATATGGCGGTTGTTTACTTAGCAGTTCAGTTTCTATATAGTTTGTGGTAGTTCACAGCGTCGTTTGAGATATTTAAAGTTAATTATTGTTATAATTCAAGAAATGGTGCAAACTTGTGTAGTACGTGGTTGCAACAGTAGTTGGTGTCCAAGTGTTTAAATAGTGACTTCTGACATTGAATACTTGTAAACATACTTTTTGTATTTTCACTTAATTTTTTGCTGAAACGTTTTATCAGTGTTTTAAACATATTAGTAAATTATAACTTTGTCAAAATCAAATAGTTTTACATTGAATTTAATTAAGTTTGAACAATTTTATTGTTTTTGTTTAAAAGAAATCGCACTGAAGTAGTGTGACCATATTGATGATGTATCTGAGACTTTCCGTGTGACCTTAACTAATTATATGTACATGTTTCTTATTATGTTACCGGAAATGCATGAAATTTAGAAATTATGTACACTTCCTATATATTCTATATAATGACGTATTTCATAATATTAAATTAAAAATGAGTAACATAACATATTCTTTTGGTAGACAATTTATTTTTATTTAGTTTTTGTTTCTCATTATTCTGATACTTTAATAACGTTTATAATAATTATGTATTTAGAAATGTAGTAGGTTAGATGTATGATATAAAGCAACAGTTTTTAAAATATGTTATTATTTGCAGACAATAAGTGCATTTCATGAAGAGTCTATTGTGCAAATAGCTGCTCTAGCTGTACCAAGCACTAGTTCTGGCATTTATGAAAGTAGTTCTGCACTTAAGGAAACAGAAGTGAAATGTACTGGCTGTAATATTGAAGACCAAACTAGTAAAAAACAATGTCGAAAAATTCTTGAAAATTTGTGCAATCTTAACAAATTACCTGTAAGTGTCCTTTTCCTTTATTACTAAATACATACCTTTTATTTGTATTTATTATGACTTTAATATTACATTACATAATGTATTATATAGCTTAAAACACATACATATTTAAACTCTTTAGTGCCAATCGCAGTGTGGTAATAGTTACTACGACACTAAGCATAAAGCTTCTTGTTTGATGCTTCATTTATGCGTGCTCATGAAGGCGCGCTCCGGTGTATTATATGTTACCTATTAAGTGATGTAAATTTGTACTGACATTATGATGTAGAAGAGTTATTTGTTTCTTTTTTTTGTTAGAGTTCTCTAATCTCTGGAACTATACCAGTCTGACTTGAAAATATTTTTTTGCATTTTTAAAACCAATTCTTCAGGAAGTCTATTTAACATCACGCTACGACCCTTATGAGTGGAGCAATACGATGTACGATGCTAAAAATACTGATTTCATAAAGTTTTCTTGTTTTCTTAGTTCAGCAGTGAATACGACGATCCCGCGAAGATTGATAGGGGCGTGCAAGTGAAAATAAAGTGTACTAAAGAAGAAATACTTGAGACGAAAACTAAGATTCTTAAGCAAAAAGTGGCGCGCCAAACTAAAAAATTCAGGATAGGTCTTCTTTAATGGACACTATTAAAAAGTATATGGGTCAGTCAGAAATTGAAAATATTATTCAAGGGTGCTTTGCTCATATCTGTAAGGACTTCAAAAATCCACATTCATCATCATCATCATCATTACAGCCCTTCACAAGTCCACTGCTGAACATAGGCCTCCCCCAGAGAATGCCACAAAGCACGGTCCTGAGCCACCTGCATCCATCGACTTCCTGCATGTCTTACCACGTCGTCACTCCATCTCGTGGGGGGACGCCCTACACTTCGCCTACCGGTACGAGGCTGCCACTCGAGAACCTTTCTTCCCCATCGGTTGTCGGTTCTTCGAGCTATATGGCCGGCCCACTGCCACTTCAGCTTACTAATCCGTTGGGCTATGTCGGTTACTCTGGTTCTACTGCGGATATCCTCATTCCTAAGTTTATCACGCAGAGAAACTCCGAGCATAGCCCTCTCCATAGCTCGCTGAGCGACCTTGAGCCTCCTCATACGGCCAGCAGTGAAGGACCACGTCTCAGTTCCATAAGTCATTACTGGCAACACGCACTGGTTGTACAATTTCGTTTTCAGGTTTTGAGGTATGTCTGACGAGAAGATGTGTCGTAGCTTCCCGAACGCTGCTCAAAAATGCACATGGTGTGAAAAATTCAATAAATAATTTTAATATGGAAAGTGTTTTTATTTTTTTTTTTTAAGGTTTTTAACAAACCATGTAGTGGTGGTGTGAAAATATCCACTACCCCATATCGTTCCGAGGGTGTTTTAAGAGGTGTCAGAGGGGAAATGAAACAGGAGATGGGCAGTGGCATCTTCCTGATAACAACTTAAAATAATAATTTATTATCGTTCCTATTATAGGACATATGTTACTAGAAATCTATGAAATCCGTTATTATATAGAATTCCTAGGAATTGTAGATAATTCTTAAAATGAACTGGATGTGTGGAATATAGTATTATACACATTTCAGCTCAGAGCAGCCTGACTCGGATGGGTTAGGTCAGAAGGCTAAGGCAGGAGCTCCGCTACGCTGGTTTAGTCCTCGTGATATTTTTTTTTTAAATAATTGTCCAGAAATAGATTTAGTCTGTCTGAACAATAAATCAGGTATATTTTGCCCAATTCATTGATCACCCGGGGTTATAATAAATTTTAATTTTATATTTCGTTGGTACCGTTTAGGAATTGTATACAATAACCAGAAAATACATTATCGAAATGGTAGTTATAAAATATTCTCTGATATATTTATTTTCCACATTTTCTAAATAGGCTCGGCATTATATGGGTTGTGACGGAAATGCGTGGTCATATTTTAATACCGGTTCTGCCCATGGAAATGAAAACCTTTCTTCATAAAACTAGTCAATTCCCAAAAAAAAATTGTACTAAAATATATAATCTATGTAGGCTAGGACTTAGTAGTAAACAGAGATATAGATATTTATAAATAAAACACAATGTAACTCAACTACTTATAGCGATATCCTGGGAAAAATAAAATAAAGGTTACCTACTTAGAAAGGGAAAGCCTGCCCACAGAGAGCGAGATGGTAATACATAGGTTTAGCTTCAAGTAGGTATTCGGAGTGTGGTCTCCATCTTTATCTATAACTTCATGATAAAGACCCACTTTTTTAATAACTGTCTTTACAGCTCTGGATTCTAGCCCTTCTGAACCTGAAGTTACAAATTACAATGTATAATTATCCTTCAAAGCACACTGCTTCATAATATGTTAATTCGTCACATTGCGCAGCCCTTGGGAGATTTTGACGGCAACTTGAGCCAGCAGACAGCTAACACTTGGCGATAGTATCTCAAGGCGCCTGAACAGACACACCTTATCTTGAGAATCACATCGCCATCAGAGCACTTGTTTCACCGTTTCCATTAATAGTTCACATGCGTAGACACTTAATATACAAAATCGCACTACTCCTTCGATATCGTATACCTACCGCATTTTATAAAATTCGCGCGTACGGTGCGGGTGTATAGTGTGCGAGGTTTCATATGATTTCATACAGCGAATTCTAAAATTCAGCGCGTACGGCGTGTGTGGCGCGGACAAATGTGCGTTCAGCTTTACGCATCATTCTTCTTCTTAATAACTGGCTTTACGGCTCTGGGATCTAGCCCTTCTGAACCTGAAGTTACAATATATTATAATAATTATCCTTCATAGTATACTGCTTCACAATATGTTGTTGCGTCACATTGTGCAGCCC